ATGCATGCAGTACTATTGAGTCCAGGGAGCAGTGAGCTACATCTTCAGCACTTTGCAACTTTCAAGACAGGATCTCACTAAATGCCCTGGGCTGGGCTCAAACTACACGCTCCTGCATCAGCTCCTGAGTAACTGAGATGACAGGCACGTACATCTGGCAAAGCTTTCAGAGGTCACCTGTCAAGTGTCTATAAAGTTTTATCTACCTTAGCTGCGCATGTGGCACATGCCTATCATTGTGGCACTCAGAGATTGAGGCAAGAGGATCACAAGATGACTCAGTTCAAGGCCAGCCTGGACTGCCTAGTAAGTTCAAGACCAGCCTAAACAACTTATATGAATAACTTTACTTGTATGTTTAAAAATGTCATGTTCACATGCTTAATCTGGGTATTAGAATTTAAGCAATTGTTAAAATGTATGAATGTCTTAATATACTGATTACAAAGCAAACAAAAAATAAAGACTTTACTAATAAAAAAGACCAGCCTAAACTATATAATGAGACCCTCTCTCAAACAAAAATGCCATTTTATCAAAGTTTTTTTTTTTTTTTCTAGCACTATCTGACTGAAGTGTGAGCATGTCCTGAGTGGCCACCAGTTTCCTTAATTAGTATTTTAAGAGAAGCCAGAAGAACACTGGCTACTTGCTGCCAGGTGGGGGTGCAGATGGGTCCTGAATCATGTAGACTTTTGCAGGTGATGGGTGGGATCTGATTTCTTCCAACAGAGCCTCTGGCCAGTGACGCACACAGGAAGCACCTGGCTCAGAGCAACAAGGACACAAAAGGCACAGAACAGTGGCCCTGACCATGTGGAGCACCAGGCTCAGGATGGAGATGGCACATATGCCAAAAATGAATGTGAACAGCCGGCATTACTTGTTGTTGGGTAGTATTGGGGATTAAATTCAGGACCTTCAAGTTGAGCGACATCCCCAGCCCTTCTTTTGAGACAGGGTCTCTAAAATTGCTAAATTGCCGAGGCTGATCTTGAATTTGCAATCCTGCCTCAGTCTCCCAGGGGGCTGAGATTATAGGCATATACCACGATGCCTGCCTTCTAGGCATTTCACCTGAGACTCTTAAGAGTGTTTTGTTTGAAAACAGACCCAGACAAAGGAAAGAGAAAAGTACTGTTTATTGAGAGCTATGGGAATAAGTCTGGGCTTTGCAGGTAGTTTTCATCCACAATGTTCCACTTGATCCTCACACCAACTCTGTGAGGTAGGTTACCATCCCCATTTCCAACTGATGAGGACTGAGGTTCAGAAAGGTTAGGCAGTTTGTCCAAGGGCTGAGAACGAGGAACCAGCAAGCTGGGACTGAGTGCTTAGGTCTCAGACTCTACCCTTCTCTCTCTCCTGTCTGCCTCTGAGAAGAAAGGAGAGAGCAGAAGCTTTGTCCATTCCCACTTCTGTAGCCTGGGGGCCCCAAGACAAGGAACCTATGAAACCTACCTTGGGAAGATGCAGTCAACTGAGGAGATTAAAACATAAATATAAAAATAAATAGCAGGGAAAAGTCCCCAGCAGCAGGGACATGCCATCTATATCCAGGCTGTGGGAAGGTCACAGTGCAGTTCACAGCTGTTGGGGGAGGGAGCTGCGAGGGCCCTGGATGGGGGGAGACCAAGATGATGGCTGCCAAATGCTGGAGTCTGGGTGGGCTCCACAGGCCCCTTCTGGGTCACATGGATGCGAGAACAAAATGTCTGGAGCAGGCAGCAGCCGTGGCAGTTGCTATCCTCCTCCATCTGCTCATTTTACCGGTGTTTGTGATCCAAGAGAGATTCAAAATCAGGGGAACAGACAAGTTTGTGCTTCACGTGTCCCAGGACTGTCATGTCCCCTGTCCTACTGTCTCCAAGGCCCACAGACACCAGCTCCTGCCAATGGACAAGAGACAGCAATGTCAACCACAACACCATGCCCAGCCTTCGTTCTGTGATCCATGTATGTAGCCAAGAACTGCCCAACCTTCCTTAGCGCTGGCCCCTTCCCAGCCCTGCCTGAAGCCTCTCCCTGGCCCCCAGCCCATACCTGTAGAAAGGAACAAGTGGTTCCCATGGTCACATCCAGAGTCACCTTGCCCAGGAGGAGCTGTACCTTCCCTGACTTGCGGATGAGCAGCTTGCCAACTTGGCCCTCAGTCAGGTCAGCCAAAGTACAAGAGTTCTCTGCCAGCCTGGCTTCCTGGGGGAGAAGCATGAGATGGCAACTGTGTGAGGGGTGAATTCTTCCATCTTTCATGACTGAAGCCCACTCTTCCTCCCAGAGAGGGGCATGGGCAGAAGACACCAGAATCAACTCCCCGAAGAGACAAAATACAGGTACTGCTGATGCTGAGTGATGGCACATGTGAGCTTCACAAAGCAAACACACACACAAACATACAACTGGGCCTGGAAGGGCAAGGTCCAGACTCACTCCAGGACTAAGAACAGGAGTCTGTTACTCTCATCTCAGCGTGGGTGGCTCTCCCCTTGCCCCCATGGGCCAGCTTCTGTCCCCAGGTGCCCTGCTCTGAATTTTCCTGGAACTTGCCCCTGGGCATACCCGGTCTTTCTCCTGCTTTATGACAACCATCTGTCCATCCTCGCCCTGCACCTCTGTCTTGACAGGCTTGATGTCCTGAGTGGGCGGCTGGCCAGGGAGGGTGTCTGGTAGCTGGAGGAACAACAGCTCCTCATCCATTGTGAGGCTCAGCTCCCGGAGCAGCTCTGCCACAGACACATCCTTCGGCAGACTGGGCATCTTCCTAGCTGCCCTGGGAGGAGCCTTCATCTTAGCCTCCTCCTCCTCTACCTCTTCTCGTGGCTCCTCTTTCACTGCTCCAGTGAAACAAGACAGACATCAAGAAACCATCCTCTATTCCATCTTTTTGCCCAATTTATCCCTCCATTATTTAGTCAGGATGCCAGAGAGGGGCAAGAGACAGCACATTCCAGTGGCATGTGACTCTTCTAAAATGAGACATCTAGGAGCTGGGGAGATAGCTCGGTGGTCTAAGTACCTGCCTACCAAGCACAAAGACCAAATTTGATCCCCAGTACCACATGCTATGCTGGCCTCGGAAGCCGAGGTACATGCCTATAATCCCAGCGCTGGGGAGACTAAGACAAGAGGATCACTACAAGTCTGAACTGCATAGTGAGACCCTGTATCCAATAAATAAAAAGAAAAAAAATATGTTAAAATGAGACAACTAGCTGAGTGTGGTGGCACATGTCTGTCATCCCAGCATCCTGGGAGACTGAGGTAGGAGGATCCCAAATTCAAGCCCACCCTGGGCAACTTAGTGACCCTATCTCAAAATAAAAAGGACTGGGAACACAGTACAAAAACCTTACGTTCAATCCTCAGTATCACTAGGGTTTAAAAAAAAAAAAAGATATCTGAGACTGGGTCCATAAAATCGTACTTTAGAGCTGGAACAGGAGAGGACCTACTCGTGAGCAGCAGTTTCCGAGGCCCATGTGGAGGGTTCCCTGGAGCAGCCATGGAAAGGGAGAGAAGTTAACACAAAACACCTTTCACAGCAGGAACGTCCACCTCCATGTCCTCTTCCTTGGGACCCGCCGGCCAAGGCTTAACATCGGACTCTTCATTCTCTTCCTTGAAAAGCCACCCCGAGTGAGCCAGTGGAAGCTGTACAGGCATGTTTCGTGTGTCATTCCGCAGTCCAGGGTCATCGATGAACTGCCAGAGAACAGTTGTGGTCACACAGCCTGTTGGCACATGCGCCTGCCTCAGCCCTCCTCAGTTCTCTTCTGGTCAAAGAAGAGAACTCAACTGGTACCTCACCAGGGTTTTGGGGCACCAGAAAGCTCGACTTCCTCTGACCCAGCTCTCCAGAAACCCCCCTCTCCTGTGGCTACAAGTCCCCCAGCTCCCAGCACCTACGTCATCCTTCTCCAGCATGCGTAGGATCTGCTTGGTTTCTTCATCTGTCTCCCTCTTCTCCTTTTTGATGTTGATGATATGAGAGGGCCCAATGTCCGACATATCAACTGTCTTATCCCAGTTCCCTGGGAAAAATGGCCCTGTTTACTCAGGATAAATAAAGCAACAGCCAAGAACAACTAAACTGGGAGCGGGACAATGCCCTCGCTCTGCTTCTCTCAGGCTGTCTGAACTGAAGCCCATGGGGATCCCTTCTTGTACCTTTCTTCTTCATCATTTCTGCAGGGCCCTGCTCAAAAATTGAGTGGGACTGGATCACTTCTGGGCGACCCCGGCCTCGTCCATGACCCTCCCTCTGGCGGTCTCTATCCCGCTCTCGCTTCTCCTTCTTCACAGTTACTTCTTCCTTAGGTCTGGAAGAGAAAATGAATGAAAGGAAGCCAATGTGCCTGCAAAAACCGCCCCTACTCTCTCACCATAGTAAGCAGCATTTATGAGCCAATAAGAACACCATGGGGGCAAAGTCTATCCTAGGTCTGGCACTTTTCTCACAGGCAAGTGTCCTGTAGTTTACTTTACTTTTACCTTCTTGTTCAAAACTAGATTTTTTTCATTGCCTCAAACAGGAAGGCTGGAATGAGGAGAAGCATGACCCATTTTATGTAAGCTAACGGTGCTCAATTCTAAGTCAGTCCACTGCACTGTAAAATCAATAGTTCAGTGAGTTTCTTAGGAGGGACTGCTGTAGTTTGGATCTTAAGCATCTCCTTAAGTCTCCAGCCCAGCACTACTGAGGTGGGCCTTGGAGGAGGCCTTTAGTCATGGCAAGAGTGGAGCCCTCTTCTTTTGCATCTAGTCCATGAGGTGGGCGGTTCTGCTCTACCACATACTCTGCCACGATGTGCTACTTTGCTACAGTCCCCAAAGCAGCAAGGCCAACCAATCACAAATCAAGTTTCAAAACTGTGAGCCAAAACAAACCCTCTCTTTAGCAAGTTGATTATCTCATGTATTTGTTAGCAACAGAATACTAATACATGGATCCTCAAGCATTAGTGTTTTTACAGTCATCTGGAAGTCAGGGCTGAAAAACACTAGTGAAATGAACCAGAACTGCAAACTTGAATCACTGAGCCACACTACTTACTTCCTCAAAGTCCCAAATTCAGTAAATACCCTGAGGGCATTTGGAGCAAAAAAAAAAAAAAAATCTTAATCAGGGGTTCAATCCCCAGGTGTGCTATGCCAGTCCTGCCCCAGGGGCGCACTGAGACAGCAATTGAGACTGGCTGTGGTGACGGATGCCTGTAATCCCAGCTCTTAGGAGGATGTGAACAGGTGGATCACTGAGTCCAATCTAGTAGTGAAATCCTGAACACCTTGTAGATCCTTCCCCAAATTCAGTAAATAAGGGGCAAGTATTCATCACCTAGCTACTTACTCTTCCTTGATCTTCCGACTGATGATATTTGGGGTGAAAGTTTTCTGAAAGGAAAATACAGGAGTCACTCATTTGCTAAGTTCTCACCCCAAAGTACAGAGGAAAATCAAAACTCCCAATGGACATCACCACAGCTCTCTTCTGCACATTCCACGCTCCTATCAGTTTTACAGACACAGATTAAGTGCCCCAGAAGGACCACCATGCCATGGAATTACATACAGAAGGGGAATTCAAACCATTTTAACTAGCAGCCTACCTTCTGCCCCCTGTTGGGAGAGACTCTCAGATTTCAAAGGAATAAAGGACCTGATCTACTCTCACCTCTTGCCTTCAAAATGCTGTGGAGACTGACTAAAAAGTTTTAGCAGGAAGATTTAAGTAGACAAGACAGATTTAGATTAGGCAGTACTCACTAACTGATAACTTAAGAATGTCACCAGAATTTTTCAACACCAAGTGAGAAATCTTTAAAAAGCTGTCCACTTCACAGGGCTGTCATTCTACTTTTCTCTTTACATATACATAATAGTAGAGGGCACAGACTCTCTAATGCCATGTCTAGGACTCATACAGTATGTTAGAGGTCTACAAACTCTTATCCATGGATTTTGAATCCTCAAAATCACAAGTTGAAACTTGTCTGATTTCATAGTTTTTAAAACGTATCCAAAACATTTAATGAAAGCACAGAAGGCATGCATGGTGGCCTACACAGGTAATCCCAGATTTGGAAGGCTGAGGTAGGAGGATTGCTGTGAGATGGGAGGCCAGCCTGGCTTACAGAAGTTCAAGGGTGGGAGGAGATAGCTCAGTGGCCAAAGGGCCTGCAGGGCAAGTGCAAAGTCCTGAGTTGAATCCCTTGTTAAAAAAAAAAAAAAAAAAAAAAAAAGAAAAAAGATGGAAAACTACTGAAATCCCAGGCCTGTAATCCCAGCTTTTAGTAGGCTGAGGCAAGGGGATCACTCTGAGTTAGAAATCAGCCTGGGTTACAAAGTGTGCTCAAGACC